TAAAGGTACGGTTCAAGGGGCGTATGGGAGGAGACTTAATTTCAGAATGCTAAGTGATTCTCTTGTCTCTTTTGCACAGGATCTCCAACACATTCTTGGAGAATTTAGATCTTCAAGCGATTGGACTTGGAGAAGGGGATTCTCTTTCTAGCTTGCTTTCTATTATTATTTATGATTTGTTCATGGCTCTATTTACAAATGCTTGGGTATCTTCCTTGAGTATGAGTAACTAAACTCATAACTAGGGTTATGAAAACTCTTGTTCATGATTTTATGAGACTTTTATAATTAAATTTAGATTTGATTTCCGTTGTGATTAGTGTTTCTCCTACTATGTTCGATTGTGTGTTGTGAACTAGCCATTCCTAACATAATTCTAATTAATTATATTGTTAGATGACTGCACCTCGCTTAATTAATGAATCTGTAGAATAAAATGAGATAATAGATTAAGTAGACCAAACTGATCAGTATCTTTCAATCATTACTAGATTAATAAGTTCATAGGTCCTTCGTGCTTCTCTTAATTAATATTTTGCATGAACATTGGAGGTGTTAATTTTGAGGAAAGAATGTTAATATTGCATGACCATTAGGTACTAATAGTAACTGTATAAATGATTGGTAATCACATAGACATCGAATTTAGAGTTAATTGGAAAAGGAACATAAATGATTGAATGAGTAAACTCATATGCCCTAGGTTTTCTTCCTATAATTTTCCCTGAGGCGTGTGTTGTGATTTCTATTTTGAGATTGAGTTATAATTATTTCAAATCCTTTAATTTTAAATGTGTATCCTTTACGTTCAAACAATTAAACAAGGAACTTCTTAGTAATTGAAAGATAATCCTCGTGGGACGATAATTGGGGAACTTAATTTTTAAACCCTTTATTACTTTTTGACGGATATACTTGCCCTCTGAGCAAGTTTTTGGTGCCGTTACCGAGCATTATTTTTTAATATTGAGAATATCTTACATTTGATTGATTTGACCAATTTTTGCTTTGTTTAATTTGTTTTTACAATTTCTAGTGTATGCTCACTCGTTCCAAGTGTTCTATAGCTTGTTTATTTGATCCAAAGCTCAAAAGAAAAGTGGAAAGATAGAGGAAAGAAGTGAGAGAGCAAAGAATGGCAGAAAGAAGTGAGAGAGCAAAGAATGGCAGAAAGAAGGAAAACAGTTCAGGATTACATGACACCCACTACTAGGGGCACCCATTGATAGACGAGATGACATCTGCCAACTTCCAGTGGCACACAGCTGATTCTTACAATATCAAAAGGAAGGAAGCTGCCCCAGTCTACCGAATAGAGAGTAGCAACTCGCTGATGAATCAAATGGTTGCCCTCACAAAGCAACTACAATTTTTTATGAGGGCGCAAGACTAGCCCACAAAATCCGCTACAAACCCAAAGTTTGATCAAGAAGATGCAAACTTTATGGGCAATAATTACAAATCAGGGTGGCGTAATAGCAACACAACCCCTTGGTGAAACCGCCAAGGGAACCAAAATGCACCCTATCGCCCTCCTCACGTGCAGACTGATAAGTGTATAAAATAAGTGATTTGAGATGGTAAATTAAATACTTTTGTGTTAAAAGTTGAATTATTTTGTTAAATTCTCTTCAAACTTGGAATGTACATATATATTTTTGAAATAAATGCAATTTTATGGTTTTAAGCTCTTTTTGATCTATTTTGTAGCTGGAATCACAAAATAAACATCACTTAAGGTTGAAAAAGATTAGAAAAGTTAGAGGAAGGAGTAATTGAAGCATGAAGTTGTAGAAAAGTCAGCTTCTAGAGGTTTCTCGTTGTAGCAAGAAACATTCGTTGCAGCGAGAAGTTGCAATTGGAGGAGGGTGAATCTGTTCTCCTGTCGCTACAGCGAGTTCTCGCTATAGCGAGAAGGCTTTTGTCTCACTCTAGTGAGAGTTAACACTGCAGCGAGAATGAAACAGAATGACCTAATTTTATCTCCATTTCTCGCTACAGCGAGTCCATGTCGCTGTAGCGAGAGAAGTTCGACCAGACCGGTATAAAAGGCAACTTTTATGTTCAAGTGGGAGGTTTACTATTCAAACTCCGTTCCAGAGGTCCAAACAGCGCAAAGCATAGAGGAAGAGTAGGAATACTTATGTTTTTTATGCTTTATTCCATTTGTATCTCCATTTTTGTTGTTATAGAAGCCATGAGCAACTAAATCTTCTTATGGGATTGAATGTAAATCTTGCTGATGTATTCTCAGTAATCTATATAAATATAGCTATTTCTTCTTCATTTCTAATGATTTGGTGATCTCAATCCATTTATAATGTTTGAATCTAGTTATTTAACAGTTTCTAGTGTTCAGATATGAGTTATATTTGGAAAGATATTGTTTAGATCTAGATCTAATTGAGATTACTCAATAATCGGTTGTTCTAGGAATAGATTTCAAGTTATTGATTGCTTCTAAATCATCATTTCAATGCTGGATAGTTTATTAATTGTTTGAGGAATCAACATTTGAAAAATTATCTTAGAAATGTATTTTCAAGGAATTGAAATATATGATTTTTGTATTTTGCATCAAATTTATTGGAAATGATTGCTATATTTATCACTGGATTACTAGAATATATAGGGGGAGATAGATGAAATTCAATCCCAACTTTTTAACTTAAATTTTACCACATTTTATCTTAGTGCTTTACATTTTAAGTGTTGTTTAATATTACATGAAAATTATTCACCAATTCTATTGTATATAAGCTCAATTAATTTGTATCTTATTAATTAATACATTTGAATTGCTCTCTAAGGACGATATTCCGGTACTCTACTAGTTATTACTTGCAACAGACTCGGTACACTTGCCGTGTTTGAAGGAAAGAACCAACACAGACCCAAAGAGAAAAGGTAGAAAGGAAAAAAGCTCCTAGATTTCAATATAATTTCCAAGAACAAATGATATAATATGTGCACAGCTCTGACAAAAGAATCGCAAAACTTAAAGTGCAAATGGAGCAACAGATTGAAAGGGAAGATAAAAGGTTTGCAGAAATCAAATCTGAGATGTGAGCTTAGTCTTCAAAACTTGAATCACAATTAGAGCAAATCACGAATCTCCTCAGTCAACGAGCATTGGGGACATTACCATCTCAGCCGAAACCAAATCCTAAGGAGCAGGCCAAGGTCATCACCCTTAGGAGTGGGAAGAACCTTCAAGAAATGCAAATCAATAAGGCATGCATGCTTGTGCTCACTGATAAACACACCCTTGCTCCAAATAGCACGCTTATGCAGACTGATGATGCACAACCGTGCATCCAGAAGCACGCCCATGAAAACAAATTGAGCTCGATCGTGCCTCATGACAAGCAAGGTCGTGCTATGTTTCCAGAAGCAAAGAATGGAGAGAGAAAGAAGGCATACCAGCTACGTTAAAACCAAGGATTCCGTTCATGCAGCGATTGAAGGGCAATCAAAGAGACCCACAATTCAGCAAATTCCTCAAGATACTCAAAAAGCTCCATATCAATATCTTTTTTGTTGAGGCTATAGCGCTACTCACCATTGATGCTAGAGCAATGGTTAAATTTTTAAAGAAAAATATTTTCACTAGCTTTGGAACCCCTAAAGCTATTATTAATGATGGTGTCACCTATTTTTTTAATAAACAATTTGAAACCTTTTTTACAAAATATGGTGTCACCCATAAAGTAGCTATTCCTTATCATCCTTAAACTAGTGGTCAAATTGAGATATCTAATAAGGAATTGAAAAAAATCTTGAAGTGCACTATCAATAATTCTAGGAAGGATTGGTCTTTAAAATTGGATGATGCACTTTGGGTTATCGTACTACTTTCAAAACCCTTATTAGTATGTCCCCTTATCACTTAGTTTTTGAAAAAACATGTCACTTACCGGTTGAGCTCGAACACAAGGCCTATTGGGGTTTGAAATTCTTAAATTTTGATTCACATATTACAAGTGAGAAGAAGTTACTGCAGCTCAATGAATTGGAGAAAATGAACTTTGAGGCATTTGAGAATACCAAGCTATACAAAGAGCGTACCAAGAAGTGGCATGACAAACATATCAACCACAGAAGTTTTCAAATAGGCAACAAGATTCTGATCTACAACTCTTAGTTATGATTGTTTCCTGGAAAACTGAAATCAAGATGGTATGGGCCATACAATGTCACCAAGGTTCTTCCATATGGAGTACTAGAGGTGTTCAAGCATGGGGAGGAACCATGTCAAATCAATGGACTAAGAGGCAAGCCATACATCGAGAATGTAATCCCTTTTGGTCACACGGCTGCACTTAACTAGCCTAGGCAGGATGTCAGGCTCACAACATTAAACAAACGCTTCCAAGAGGCACCCTGTGTTATGTTTTTGAATGCTCATTTCGTTGTTTTATTTTAGTATTGCACTTAGTGTTTCCATTAATAATGGATATGGTATATGCTTGATTCTTAAGTATAGGAAGGAGAGACAAATTTTTCCACATGCATGGCCATGCACAAACTTAGCACGGTCGTGCCTAAGGTAGACACTTGGGCATGCTTCCAGTTAGAATGGTGGTGCTCATAAATGATGCACGGTCGTGCTGTGAACATGCATGATCGTGCTTATTAGCGAATTTTGAAAAATAAAAGGAGGGGAGTACACAGAGAAGGGTTATGCATGCCCTTTCTCTTAGCAGCACCACACATATTCTCTCAGACTGTAATCCCCTCTTTTTGCAATTTTGTGATTATTTCTGACTCAGGTATGCTGTTTTTATTTCTTTACACATATTGTTTTATGATTGTTTATTTTACAAATCCTAGGAATCCCTCTTCTTCTACACATATTGTTTTATGATTGTTTTAGAAGCACGGCCATGCTTAGTAATAGTAAGGTCGTGTATGAATAAATCTAGGCTGCGACATCTATTGTAGCCCTATTGGTGATTGATAAGCCATTATAAAAGATCTACACCTGTCTCTATGTTGGAAAATTATGATGAGAATACCTCCTCAAAAGCTCTCTCAATCGCTCTCATGCCTCGAACAAGGGCTCTGCTTCATATTGTTGGAAGCAACATATCTCCATCATAAGCTTAGAGGACCTTGATGGGGAAAGTACTTTCCAAGAATTGTTGAGTGAAATATTTCCAAGTTGTGATGGAATTGGCTGGGAGTGAAGCGAACCACGCATTCACCTTTTCAGATACTGAAAAGGGGAAAAGACAGAGTCGAATGACATCGTTGGAGACTCTGTTGTTGATGAATCCATATTTTGTTAGATTTTTACTTATCTTTTTAGTGTTCTTTAATAGAAAAAGTGAACTTAGGAAGTGTAAATAACATAAAAACATCATTTTGGTCAAATATCATAGGTTTCTTAATTTTCTGTTAATTTACATTGATTTACATAGATATAATTTGTAATTTTGATTATTTGAATAATTGTACAGGAATTTCTAGACTTATTCCATGGATTTTTAGCATTTGAGAAAGTTTGAGTTAAAGTGACCACTTTGGATTCCATAGTGGACACTACAGCAAGCTAGATCTAGAAAGGCAGACCAAAGTGATCACTATGAACCCATAGTAAATACTACAGAGACCTCGGTTTGAAGAAGTGTTGCGTGTGTTTACTATGAAACCATAGTAGACACTCTGGGGCAGACCAAAGTAATCACTTTGACACCAAAGTGAACACTCCACAGAAGGCCAAAATCACAAGACTTGCGCGTAGCTACTATGAAGTGATAGTAACTACTATGGAGTATTGCGCGTAGCTACTATAGAGTGATAGTAACTACTATGGTGACCTGCGTGTTATCACTATGAAACCATAGTAGTTACTATAGGCGAAAATTTCTGCACTATAAATAGAACTTTAGAAATTATGGTACGGATCTTTTTACACATTTTTAGATTCTTAGGACCCTTGGGTGACAACCAAGGCCAATCTTAGGGTTTAATTTACAATTTCTCTTCATTTTCCTTTGATTTTTGAATTAATGACATTGTATTTCCCTTACTTTCATCTTGAATTTGTAAGACCCATCCTTATGGAGGGCTAAACTTCCTTGTAATCCTTAGTGAGTTCATGGATTCTTGAATTCCTAGGTATGAACGTTAATATAATTCTCGTTCCTTCATGAATCTCTATTTCCCAAGTCTTTGAATTGAATCAATGGTTGGATGAGGGGGATATTGCTTAATTAATCCTAATTTGTTTTAATAAAATTCTTAACTTGGTTTGCTTAATTCTAAGTTAATTTCTAAGGTTGCGTAATTTTGGAGAAAAGAGTTGGAGTCCATTGAGTTTGCTTAAATTCGTATGGGATTTTAAGGTTAATTCTCGCTTATTAAGTTAATCTAATTCAGGGGAAGAGGAAAAGTATTGGATCTTAAGAGGAATAAGGATAGAATCACATGAACAAACTAAGGATTGCATATTTCATTGATTGAACTCATTAATTTCATCACTTGTTTTTACATTAAAAATTGAAATCACACAAACTCCCCCTTTTATTGCTTTAAATGTTGAATGTCTATAACATGTTTAATGCATATTACCAACCAAAGTCATCGGAGACAAACTAGGCTTACATCCTAGATATTACACTTTTTTTTTTTTGCATACTTTGATGAGAATTGACGATAAATCTTTATGCAAATTGAAAAATTTGTTCATCAGTTGTATTTTATGGTATTAGTCAGTTGAAGAAACTTTATCAGATGTAGATTGGGATCTTCGTTGGGCATGCCTTTGAACTGTATGGAGTTTTGGACCATGGTTATTAGTGTCGGTTTCAATTCAAAATTGTTGGTATCCATATTAGTGGCTACGATGCTTCCAAGAGTATCTCTAGCAGTGATTGTCATGTAATCTTGATTTGATCTTCTTTCCTCTGTCATTCTTTACTCTCACTTATTTCCTTTGTCTACGCATTGTTCTCTTAATCTCTAGATCAAATAGACATGTTATAGAACATTTAGAACGAGCGAGCATACACTAAATTTTTTTTTATCTTTTTTAATAATAAATAGAAACAAAAATAATAAAAAAATGAGAGTGAAAATAAACAAAATTAAAATTAAAGAAAATAAAATAAATAAATAAAATAAAATAATACAAGGATTGCTCAAATCAATTACATATAAGATTTTCTTAATCTTGAAAAAAAAAATTCCCAGCAACAGCGCCAATAACTTATTGATCGACAAGTTACTCGTTGAGAAGTAATAAAGATTGTTTTTCAATTACTAAAAATTTCTTAATTTATTTATTTGAGCTTAAAGATATGAGGTTAATTGAAATAAGAATTTATAAAATCAATTATAAAATTAAGAACAAGGAATACAATGCACGTCTTGGTTGAACTTATCGAAGAGGAACTTAGGGCATATAGGTTTTCTCATTCAATCCTTTATGTTATTTTTTTGTTTAATTCTAAGTTTGATTTCCTTATTATTACTAATCATTTATACAATTATTATTAATACTCAATGGTCATGCAAGACATCAATTCAAGAAAGCATGAAGAACCTATGAACTTGTTAATCTAATAATGGCTAGAAGAGAAAGATTGATTTAATCCACCTAATCTTGTCTTGTTTTATCCTATAGATCCATTAACTTTAATCAATTAAATAGTCTTATTATTCATCAATAAAAATATATTATGAATATTTCATCCTTTAATTATCAAGCATTCTATTAGTTAATTTATCAACTAAGTTAAACTATATTAATGTTATTGTATAGTATCTCTACCTTTATACATTTTAAATCATTAAAAAAAATTTGTACTGATGTTACCTTAGATCTTATATAAATTAATTAACTCAAAAATTTTAATTTCTTAATATTTTTCATTAATTAACTAAAATATAATTTTAATTTTAAATATTTTATGACTTAAATTATTAAAATCTAATATTCTAATTCAAATAGTTAAGTATTTAATCACTTGAGATTATTTCATCATTTTATTATACAATTTTTATAATATTAATGTGTAGTTTATATTGTCTTTGATTGTTTATTAAATTATAAGGAATTTATATATAACTTATACTATCTTAAATTCTTTTTTATATAGCTTTTCAAATTCAAGTATAAATATGAATATTTCATTTACAAAGTAAAATACTGTTTTTTAAAATTATTTTTAATGATTTTCAATATAAATATGTGATATTCCTTCACTTTTTGTATTATTTATCATAGGGTAACATGTATAGCCTGCTATCTTGTGTCTAAATTCTTTATAAAATATTTTTAAGCTTAAAATAATTATTTTTCATTTAAAATTTAAGTTAACAACTTCAATGAATTTTTTAAAATAATTTTTTCATTCTTAAAATATCAATTAATATTTCAATAAATAATTTTTTTCATTAAAATAAAAATTAATAAAATAATAATATTTATTGTTTAGAAATTAAATAAATACTTTTTAGAAACTAAAATATTTTTTAGTTAATTAATAAAAGCATTCATTTAATAAATTAAAATATAATTTAATTTTAAAAAATTATTTTATATAAGACTTGAGATAATGTTAATAAACATAAATCTTGATGATTTATAATCTTTAACGATATAAATCTACACACTATAAATTATTGTAAAATATTTATTTACTTATTTATTATATTCTTGTTATACAATTTAAAAAATATATTTTTCAACATGAAATAAAGGGACAATATCTAGATTAATAAAAAAAATTAAAATTATTACTTAAAAAAGGTAATAATAATAATAATAATAATAAAGGTAAAATTTTAATATTAAATTTTATTTTAAAAATTATATTTTAAAATTATTTATTATTATTATTATCATTATTATTATCGTTATTGTTATTATTATTAAAAACACAATATTTAAAAGAAAAAATTAAAAAAGATAAAGCTAACAAATAAAATATTAAAAAAATAATAAAAAATTAATCATGAGATTTGGGTTATTCATAATAATTATTTTTCTATTATTACTTTTTTTTGTTTTTTTTATTATTGTTACTCAAAACTCTTAAAATCTAACCTATTTTTATTTTTTGGAAAGAAAAACATTGTATAATTTTTTAGACCTGTTGGAATCCAAGTCAAACCAAGGACTTAATAATTTTTTATTCTTTCAATTTTGTTTACAAAATGACTCACTCACTCTCTTAAGAATTGAAAAATAATAAGGTAAGAAAAAGAAATCATTGGTTCTTAAAAAAAAAAAAAAAAGAAAGAAAATGTCGCAATCAGATGGGTCACAACGTTAAGGTGAAACGTTTTAAGAAGAAAAAAAAAATTTTAGAGATGAAATATTTTTTAAAAATCAAAGAAGTCGCCATCAAAATTTATTTTAAGAAAACGTTGGAAAATGTTTTAAAATAAATATAATCTTTGAAACCAAAAATAAGTTTGAGAGTCATTTACACACAGAAAATGTACTAACACCTTACAACATCCGTTTAAAATAATTAACTTAAATTAGTAGTGTAAATTCATTTTAATTTTAAAAAATATTTATTTAACTCCTAAATAATAATTATTTTTATTTTTATTTTAGAAGAAGAAAAATTATCTATTAAAATGTTAATTGGTATCTTAAAAGAGGAAAAAAAATTATTTTAAAAATTATTTTAACTTGATGGGTCTGATTCGCGCTTCTACATATCTCCAGGTGCAATGGAGAACTTAAAATTACATAATTCTATCATAAAAATTATGAAGTTGATTGATTAAAATTAAGTTTAATAAAAAATTATTTTGAGATTGAAATTATTTTGATAAAATTATAATATCGAGAATACAAGATAACTCAGTTATGCATGCTTTATAAAAGGTGAAGAGAAATCATGCAATTACATTACAAATTGTTAAAAATAATTTATTAATTTTTTTAAAAAAATATTATTATTTGTAAATGAAAATGTTTGAATTTATATTTGTAGATTTATATTGAAAGAGATTTAAGATAGCATAAGTTATACATAAATCTCTTATAGTTTATTGGACGATCGAAGGCAATGTAAATTATACATTGATGATGAAAAAATTTTGTATAATAAAGTAAAAAAAAATTAGTTATTCAATTTATCA